TTTTTTTTACTACACTTCATTTCCAGACGGTTCATCTTTCCCTTATCTAACTTATCTTGTAGCGACGTAGAAAAACCGGGGTCGTAAATAACAAGGAACAAAGTGCAGAAGAAAGTCATAAGTCTAAGGTAGCATGGTTTCAGATCAGATAACAGAAAACAGCGACGAAACTTCTTACTTCTCACGCTACGAGGGATTTTTATTCCCTTGACGTGCGCAGACTGTGTCGATAATCGTTCTTAATCATTCATGAATATGAGAAATAGTCTTAACTATATAAAGAACTTGACTTTATATCCGTGATAATGTAATATATTCATATATTATACATGTAACTTGACTTTGAATCTGTGTCTTGATAAAAGTTTGTAAAAACTGTTTTCTCAGATCGGCGGTTGCAAGATCTTCATAATTTTCAGTTTAGATCTTGTCAACAAAAATCAGGATAAATACCTTGATAATCGTCTCGATAATCGTTCTTAATCGTACTTTCGTCCATAAAAATATCAGAACGACTTCAAATGTGACGATTCGTTGAAACTATAAACGACTTGACTTTGCTTTTAAGGGTTGCGAATCTCACACGCGAATAGCTTCTATATCATAAGTTTGTAATTCAGATCTTGTCAACAAAAATCAGGGAAGTTTCCACTGGTGAAATTAAAAAAAAAAAAAAACAGAGCAAAGAGAAAGCACAGTGAGGAAATTTCGAAGAAAAACTTAAAAAGTAAAAAAGAAAAAAAAAAAATTGAAAAGTAATCCTTCGTGCAAAAGTCCTCCCGTACGAAGTGCATCACTTACTGCTCGCCCCGAAAAAATCCTACGTTATTAAAAAAACGGGAGGATCCTTTATTCGTTCTACGCCAACAAGGAAATCACCTCAACGAAGTAACCCATTTCACTCGACTACACCGCATAACGCTGGCAACGTGAAACTCGCTCGTTATACGCGAAACTCGTAAAAAGAACACAGTCGCGAACGCCGTCTCAACGCCAGTACAATCCACAACCAAAAACCAACAACCGGTTATTTGAAACGATATCCAACGAAGGTAGACGCGTTTTATCCGCCGAGTGTACGAGTGGAATTATTCGCTGTAAAACGCGGTTTCTTTTCTCGGGGGTGGAGGATGAGGGGGGAGGGAGGGTCAGGATCGCCGCGTGCCGCGGTCAACTTCCGCTCTCGAGGCGCCTCCGGCTGTTTGCACCGCGGAGAGGAGAGCTGCTACCCGTTTTCCAGGTTCAGCAGAAGGAGAATCGGGAATTCGACGTGGACGAAACTCGTTACCGAAGTTTCACCGGCAGCATGGAGGCTGTTACGACCGCGTTAGAGGCTGTACACGTGTCTCTATATTCGAATCGAAGTTCTACAACGACCGTCGAGTGAGAAAAGAAGCGGAAATTTCGCGCACGCGGCGGAAAATTCGTTTAGCTCGAATTTGCGAATAACTCACCTCGCTGA